AGAGCAAGACACACGTGAAGCCCGGTGTACCGTCGGTAGCTCAAGCTCTGCACCAAGAGCGCCGGTTCCGTCGCGATCCAGCACGTAGGCTCCAAGGTGTGCAGCAGTACCATCCATTGTCCAAGTTGCGACTCTACTGATTCTAGGCAGCGCGGTGGTGCGCGCAATATGGTACATGTACCCGGGTACATGTTCTAGTCGCCACCGTCGCCAAACGTTTGCATCTGAGCATCGTGGAATGCCACGTGTCCAGCATTGTGGCAAAACGAGCCAGATACGTGCTTTGACTTGGCGTTTGCTTTGTCGATTTTCACGATTGAAAACGACAAATTCTCTTTGGGTGTTTCGCGCCTGCAAGGAGTCGAAACGGACTTTTCAAGAGAAGGCGGCTCGGCGAAACCAACGACTGGTCGGCAGAGCCTAGCATTCTAGTTTTCGCTCTCCGCTAAGCAACCCGCCACGCCTCACCCGAGGTGCAGCGGTAATGCAGGCCTCGCGCCCTTTTTCCCCCTGAGCGAAAAGCCACGTGAAACATGAAATCTGAATTTGTGAGAAAAATTTAGATATTTCGTCTATTGGCACCGGCGCTCGTCGTGCGTAAAGATCGTCGTCGCGTAGAAGCGGCCGTCCGACGCCTTCTTGACTGCAAAGCCGACCGTGTTGTACTCGCGGTTCAAGATGTTCTTGCGGTGGCCCGGCGAGTTCATCCACTGCGTCGTCATGCCGCGCGCGTCACCGTCGTAGTTGTACAAGGTGTTTTCACCGCACGCACCGTTGTTGCCGGCGGCCGCGCACCGATGGCTAAAGTTGTCGTGGCTGATTTTGCCAGCGCGGATTTCGTAGTTGACGTGGTCCATCGAGAGCGCGTTGAGCTTCGAGTTGAGGCAAGCGAACGCTGGAAGACCGTTCTTGATACGCTCTTCGTTGTGGAACCGGAAGAGCTGCTTGACAACTTCATCGGCACCGGCCGGCGTCGTGCTTTGCGTCGGGGTCGGCGTCGCGCGCGTCGTCGGCACCGGGGTCGACGGGCCGCGGGTCGGTCGCGTCCACGGAGCTTGCGTCGGGCGGCTCGGCGCTTGCGACCACGGCGCCGGCGTCGCAGCTTGCTGGCCTTTCTTGTTGGCGCACACGTCCGAACGCGGGTTCGAGTCGGTGAACATGGCCGTCGCAAACCACTTGCCGCTCGGGCCCTTCTGCACCGCAAAACCCGCGTGCTTGTAGTCGCGGCCCAAAATGTTCTTGCGGTGGCCCGGCGAGTTCATCCAGCTTTCCGTAAACTTGGCCGCGTCGCCGACAAAGTCGTACAAGGTGTTTTCGCTGCACACAACGTTGCCAATCTGCTGGCAGCGCTCGCTGAAGCCATTGTGGTTGATGTTGTCGATCGAGATCTCATACTTGACGTGGTCCATGCTGAGCTGGCTCAGCTGCGTGTCGAGACAGTCGTACGCCGGGAGGCCGTTCTTGCGGCGCTCTTGGTTGTGCAAGTCGAAGAGCTGCTGGGCAAAGTCCGACGCCGCCGTCGGTGACGACGGAGGCTGCGTGGGCGCTGACCATGGGGCCTGGGTGGGGGCCGTCCACGGAGCTGGCGACGGGGCGCGGGTCGGGGCCGACCATGGGGCCTGGGTGGGGGCCGTCCACGGTGCCGGCGACGGGGCCGGGCCACGGGTCGGCGTGTTGTTGTTGTTGCCGCCACCGCACGTCCCAGCCTTGGGGTTGGTGTTGGTGAAGAAGGCCGTCGCAAACCACTTGCCGCTGGACCCGCGCTGGACCGCAAAGCCCACGTGCTTGTACTCGCCGTTCAAAATGTTCTTGCGGTGGCCCGGCGAGTTCATCCAGCTTTCCGTGAACTTGGTGGGGTCCCCGACAAAGTCGTACAAGGTGTTTTCGCCGCAAGCGACGTTGCCAACCTTTTGGCAGCGCTCGCTGAAGCCGTCGTGGTTGATGTTGTCGATTGAGACTTCGTACTTGACGTGGTCGGCGCTGAGCGAGCTCAGCTGCGAGTCGAGGCACGTGAAGGGCGCGACACCGTTCTTCTGGCGCTCCTTGTTGTGCAACTCGAAGAGCTGCTGAACAAAGTCGGAAGCTTCCGTCATTGCTGACGCCGATGCGACGAGCGCCGCGACAAGGTACCCAAAGCGCATTCTGTACACGTTTGCCTGCGCAAGTGTAAAAAGGAAAATGAATTCGAGGCGGGCTCGTGCGAGACGCACAGACTACGTGACGCGAAAGTGAGCAGCAACGATGCGAGTAATATGAGGGGTACCCTCATCCAGTCGCGGTAATTTCTACGGCAAGATCGCCCCCACGCGGCGTCGGACTTGAAATCGAATAAAGCCATTTTTGACCCATTCGAATGCGAATGCGATGGGGAGGAGGAGTCGCGCAAGTATTGAATCATTGTGTATCCACGACTACAGTTTCACTAGGCTCGTAAACACCCTGTAAACATGGCTCGCGTCAAAGTGCACTCTGAGCAGATGTCTTCCCCAACACATCTGTAGTTCCCACCATGAAGCATTGCATCGCGTTGGTAATGCCTTACCGACAAACATCAGGATTCTCGGCGACGATCGAGCCAGTTGACCACCGTTGCGCGCATGGCGTTTAAACCACGAGGTCAGGGCAAGGTGATGGTTTGCTGAGGTTTCCTTCTTCTTACGGTGGTCATTCATGACTCTATCGAACGATGGGGTGCGATTCTTTGAAATAGCTTGCAAATGTGAAGCATATATAGAGGTGGTGCAATCTCTAGCTCCGTTTTTGTTGTTATTTCGTTGCGAAAACACGCTACATGAACTAGCTTGTAGAGGCCGATCGATCACCTGCGAAATGGCGGCCAAGGTACCATGCCGTTCTGCCTCGCGACCGGTGCGTCATTTGCGTGACATGCCTCGCGTAAGGTCAGACTCGAGATGAAGTACCGAGAACGGCCGTGAGTTCGCTCGCAATTTGGCTGGACTGACCATGCACTTTGTTGGTGCAACCTTGAATTCACCTTGGGTAATCGCAGTGCAGGACGACTCTATCATGCGTCGGTCGACTCCTTCAGTATAGGCACCGCGGTTGTCCTAGGTATGCTGGGTCTTTCTGTCGATTGACGAGCTTGCTCGGTCGCACTTGCGCACTCTCTGGCAACGCACGGTATATGTAAGCTTGCGTTTATAAGGGTATATCCAAGGCGACAGAGAAACGACCGACAGTGTCATTTTGATGTGTCAGTTGGTACCCCTAACCCCAACCGACTACCGCACGGCAGCTGCAAAGACACGCGATTCAACACTGCCACAAGAGCGATCATTGAGCCCGCCACGAGTAGAGTGTATAATGCTCCCCGACAAGATAGCAACAGTCCAATGCTTTTCCTAAATAGGTATGTATAGCGCAAGAGAGCATGGCGTATCGAAAGGCCCCCAGCATAAATGTTGGCAACCAAGTTATGCTTTCTGGTTGCTGTTCAATGCGCCAAAAACGCATACTATTGATGCACAAAAGCCACTGCCGGCTCATATTCAATATCATATACAATGCGAAATTGACGGTTTTATAGAAACAGATAGAATAAGTGCTTAGGCGCACGGACGGCTGTCCTTGGTGAAGATGGACGTGGCGTAGTATTTGCCGTCCGACGCCTTCTTGACTGCAAAGCCGACGTTGTCGTACGCGCTGCCGAGAATGTTGGCGCGGTGACCGGCCGAGTTCATCCACTGCGTCGTCATGCCGCGGGCGTCGCCGTCGTAGTTGTACAAGGTGTTTTCAGCACACGCGCCGTTGTTGCCGGCCTGCTTGCAGCGCTCGCTGAAGCCATCGTGGCTGATCTTGCCGACGCGGATCTCGTAGTTGACGTGGTCCATCGAGAGCAAGCTCAGCTTGGTGTTGAGGCACGAGAAGGGCTTGAGGCCGTTCTTCTGGCGCTCTTCGTTGTGGAACTTGAAAAGCTGCTTGACCACATCGTCGGCCTCCGTCGGGGAGTCCGAAGGCTCATCCGACGGCTCGTCCCAAGGGTCATCCGAAGGTGCCTCAGTTGGGGCCGGCGTCGGTGCCACGGTAGGACGCTTCGTGGGCTTGGGCAGCGGGCGCGGTGTGGGCTTGACCGTCGTCGGGCTCGTCGGCTTGGGCGTGTTCGGCGCGTCGGTGGGCGCCACGGGGCCGGGCTTGCCGCCGCACACGTCCGAACGCGGGTTCGAGTCGGTGAACATGGCCGTCGCAAACCACTTGCCGCTCGGACCCTTCTCGACACCAAAGCCCACGTGCTTGTAGGCGCCGTTCAAGATGTTCTCACGGTGGCCCGCCGAGTTCATCCAGCTCTGCGTAAACTTGGCCGCATCGCCCTTGAAGTCATACAACGTGTTCTCACCACAGGCGACGTTGCCGACCTTTTGGCAGCGCTCACTGAAGCCGTCGTGGTTGATGTCGTCGATCGAGATCTCGTACTTGACGTGCTCGGCGCTGAGCTCACTGAGCTGCGAGTCGAGGCACGTGAACGGCGCGACGCCGTTCTTCTGGCGCTCTTGGTTGTGCAAATCGAAAAGCTGCTGGACGAGGT